ACGGATGAGGAACGGTTCAGATCTCAAGTGAATATCCTGAATCAGAGTTATAATTTATCCAGCTTCCAGATGAAGAAAATCTCAGGGTGGCGTGAAAAGGTGGCCAAATTTGGGCCCGTACGTGGATATTCCCTCCGTACGGAGCCATCTTGAAGAAATGAGGTATATTCTCTTCTACCAGATTGGCAAGACAAAAAACCCTCATCTTAAACGTTTTTAAGCACCACAACTTTTTTATAATAGTATTTTTTTAAAAGAAAGGTAATTACAAAACTATTGTAATTTAAAATAATCAAAACTTAACAAATATATTCTTAAAGAAAAAGAGTAAGAAAATCTAGCTTTATATAATTTGATATGGGTTTAAATTTAGTTTCTCATAACTTACCTTAGTGCCAATGGCAGCAACCCTGTCCACAAACTTGCTCCATCATTACCAATGTCACCTTGGTCCAAACAATGAAGCTATTGACTTTTTCAACATCTTTCAATCATCTCTTTCTAGTCCATCCAGAGTCTAGGAAGAATTCTAGCTGAAAATCTTTCTAGACTTGATTATTGCTTTCCTTATATCATTTTTTCTGTTCTTTCTAACAGAGAAGTCTTCACAGACACTGTTAGAAGCCCATACTACATTGGTCCAGAAGTTCTTTGAAAAACGTCTTGTCCTTTCTCCATAGTGTGGACCTGAGGCAGTCACCTTGTTGCTTGTTGGAATCTGAGGTTTGGGACGTCCTGAATGCTGGAGGATTTTCTCTTCTTGTTTGTACCATCTCTAATGAAATGACAGGCAAACGCTGATAACAGCAGAACTACTGACTACAGTGACACTACAGTTACACCACGGATGGATCGGGTCTGCATGGAACCAGAAACTGTTGAACCAATCGAGCAGTCCAGAGGAGAATAGTCACAAGGCTGAGAGCTCATTCGGCTGTGTGAGACATAAGTCAGTTCCTTTCATGTCGATGTCCTGCACAAAAATCTCTGGATTGAATTTCTCAGGCTTGGTCCAGATGGATGGATCATGAGTGATTGGATCTCACAGAAGTTCTTGGGGTGACTTTTGTATTTCAAAACATTCAGTCAATTTACCTATAAGTGGTTGCAGATATTTGGTGATCATTCATTGGTTTGAAACTTCCAGTAATCTCCACTTACAAGAAACTGGTTTTGCAAAAGTGTTCTTGGTGCCTGGCCTGACTGTGGTGGTGAAAATGTGGAGTAGCAACCATGCAGTAACTTTGTTCATCACTCTCCAGACTATGAGATGCAATTTCATAGCATGGATTTTAATACTAGTATATCTGAAGTAAGCTTATCTTGCTAGTGGAAACTTAAGACACTTCGTGACTTATTTTAGGATTTCTTTCAAATGATTCTATTTACTCAAGCAAGTTATTAAGGAGGATGGTGTTGGTTGAAGCTAGATATTTATTGCGAATGTGACTTTGGGTATTGAAAGTTATTTGTCGGGAGCTGGGTAGGTTTTGAACTCATGACTTCTCAAACACAAGGAAAACATTGGCTCATCCCGAACCAACATCTTTTCATTTTTCAAATTTTGATTTAATCCATATTTCCAAGTAAATATGATTACTAAAAATACAAATACAAATATAGATTCAAACACTAAAAAATATCTAGAAACACTTCTTAAGCTTTGCAATTGTAAGGCTTGTCTGATGGATCTGATGGTCAACCTTAGGATCTTGGTTTAGTTTCTGCATAAAAATACAATAAATGTGCTTGAAAGCTAAATATACCTTTCCTTTGTTCTCCCTTTGTGTAAAATCTGGACAGGTACAAGATGGATTTTCACAGATTCTGATAGTGTAGTTTGTACCCTTTGACAACTTAGTTATAACAATAAACTCCATAGCCACGGCACTAATGTAGTTTATCCTTGTTATTGTGCACTTCAACGCCTTTTCCAACTTGATTTTCTCTTATGCACCTTTTAAAATGGAAGACATATATTGTACATCCTCCCCATTTCTAGCTGGTCGTGTATGCTGGTTTAGTGTTGACATTGGTGGCATAGCAGTATCAATAGCAACATTTGAGGAAGTCTTCAGCTTGAAACTAGCTCTCTCCAAACTTTCAATCTCATCTTTCAAAAGATTGCAGCTTCACTCAACTGGCTACTCCTCTAGCACAGAATTTGGCTTCAAGATAATTGAGCTGAGGATCCAGTTTGTATGAGTAACATCAGTCCCACAACAATAAATCCAACTTGACTAGCGACCCTTTACCCCTAAATCTTGACAGCCCTAGAAATATGGTACTACTGAAGAATTTGAACCTGAGCACACAAATGCAAGACACTGACCTCGACTCGCAATCAACGTGCATTACTCTTGGCATTGACTGTTCAAATTGCCTAGTTGATACAAGAAACTAGCTCATGAGCAATAATCTTCTCAACCTGTGCATTGGATTTACTTGTGTAACAATTGACACCTCCTCCACTCCATGTTCCTTAGCTCTTCTCTAGTGTCGTGGAACAGAATGGTAGTCAAACTCTGGATGGTGAAAGCTCGAATGAGTGATGTTGGGCCCATCAAATATCTGTTGACACTTCACACGGGCTGTCCTCATTTCTCTAAGTGGTTCATAGTTTGATTCTATAGGAGTTCTAGTAACAACTTCTTCCACCATCTTAGATATTGACCCTGTTGTTAGTGTTGTCCTTCTACCAACTTGCTTTCAAAACTTGTCTAAGTTTGGACCTATACTAGCAAACCTTGCTTCTTGTGTAGCCAAAGCTTTTGATGACTGCTTAAGAGATCTAGTGAGGTCGGAAAGCATAACTTCATAGAAGGACACTTTTCCTTTCCCTGCTTTCAAAAGCTCTCCATACAACATTCAAACTTCCTACCATACAACCTAGCATTCCATTTGTGAAAGGTGTTCAATTGACACTTTGTCTCCTTCATGCCACCATATGCATATCTCATTTACTTTTGCCTTGTGCTCCTTTTTAGTTAGTGCATCCATTCATTTCTGACAAAGCTGTTTGAACTCGTGATGGAAGCTAGACTTGATGCATCGGCAATGTTTATTAACATTCTTTGCCCAATGAAACTCACATCTCTTCTCTCTACCTTGTAATGGCTGACTTTTATCACGTCCAAATACTTGTTATACAGTCAACCAATTAGCACCAATAGCATCTTCCATGAAACCACAGAAGTTGGGTTTCTTCCCGCTTTGTTGTTCAACAACCTCGGACATACATGTCCAAAAGATGGTTTGAGCTTGGAAATCTTGAACTTTGAATTCGGCTATAGCTATACTCAAGTTGCACTGCAACCTATAGAAGGAATGGTTATAATGTAAATCAATATGAAATCCTTAAAAATGAAAAGCTACTTACTTGTGATGATAAACATGAGCTCCCATTGTTGACTACACTAAAACTCATTCCATGTGGTCGAAATGAATCCAAAAATTAGCCAAGTCTCCATCTCCATCCATATCCATTTGTTATACAAGGTCCATATTAGAAGCAGGACCAAGGGTGGACATCTTAAAGATGAAAGGGCGTTGATTGTTTGAATTCACTTGGCCAACAAACAAAAGCTCCCATGAATAAACTCATAGGGACATTTTGTTTTTAACTCCAAAATTGCATCAAATCTAGATTGAAGTTTTCCATCTCACCCTTCTTGCATCCAATTCTTTATTCTGCCAAAAAAAAAATGTTTCTATAGTGATAGTAGAGTTAAGTATTAATCTTATACCTGTTTAAATTTGTCACGGGTTTTATATTTCGAAGCAAGTCCTTCAAGCTGTTCTCTATGAACTATTTTTTGCTATCAGCTTGTAGCAACATATCCACTATATAGTCCTTTAGTACAGATTATTGAACACACTTTGGAGTTGCAGAACTTTTTTTCCTAGCCTCTATAGTAATAGCAACTTTCAAATTGCAAAAAGAACCATGGCGGATTCCTTCCTCTATTACATGTTGGTGGTATCCAACATACACTGCTGCTCTACTTAAACATCCATCTCGTGAAAGAAAATAATACATTTTTGCATTGCAACATGCTTGATACACAGGTGTTGCCTTGCATTTGCAACATCTAAACCTTGTAGCAACCTCATCATGCCTAGACAGATTGATTGTTGAGCCTTCAAAGAAACACATATTTTTGCCATGATCAGAAATGCATTTCTCACTGACACATTAAAGTTGTCCACCACAATAGACTATGGACACAAATCCATCAAAATGCGAGAATTAGGTTGTCTTTACTTTGCACCAATTATGTGGATCAAGACGCGTCTCCATACCCCTTTTCTTACTTGACGAACTGGCCGATGGAAACTTGAAGAATATATTCCCATTATAGGAAGAAGGAAGCTCCTCACCTCTCATGTACTGGAACTCCTTCAATTCCAACCATAATGATTGAGATTGCCGAAATGCCTTATCCACTGCTTCAAAAACTAGTCCAAAAGGAACACACATACTTGTCTGGGAAGCTATGTTGGGAAGTTCATCTTCTTCACTTTCATCACTAGAGAGAATAACAACTTCATCCTTCACTCCTTGCACAGTTGGCTGTGAAATTGCTACACTCTCCTCTACTCACTTCAGAGATCCTGTAAGTAGAATTTTTTGACTTGTACATCTATCAAGATCCCACTGAATCCCATTCTCTCCCACACCTCTGTTGAGAAAAATGGATTTTTCTATCTAATTACCCTTATCCCGACATACATTCTCCAAACTAATTGATCTCGACTTCAAGTTGAATCTTCTGCAGAGGAAGCTCTCTCCTATAACATTCTTAGAGAAAACAATTGGAGGCTCATGATCAAACTTCAAGTAGAATTCTCTCATATCTTCTCTTTGCTCGAGCACTTAGAAAAAATTTGGGGAGAAACTAACAAGAAAAAACAAAGATATTCTTTTGTATTGTGAGTTTTAATTAGTTGTGTCCTTGCAAAGGACAAAATAATTATTTTAACAAAATATACAACCGTTTAGAATCTAGAGATATATGAGAATCTTAAAGAGCCACCCATATTAATTGTATAATTGATTGTGAGAGGAATAATATTGTTGAAATGAGTGGGTTATGAGTGAGAGGCATTGATTAATCATGAGAGTTGTAGCATTAATTGCTTGTTCTCCCTTTCATCTCCATGCTCTTTTCCCTTCAAAAGAGTTTCATTATTTTGTGATAAGTGAGGGAGAGTTAAACTCAGTCCCTAAACCATTGATTGC